CTTTCCTAGTATCAAGGAACCTGGAAACGTTAAGTATTATTCAGAAGGATTCTAGGTAAAGGTGGAATCAGAATAAATATTCCTCCATTTCAGAGGACTATTTCATCATGCTCATAGTGAAGTCTTCTGAATGGAGCAGATTCTGTTGATTACCTAATTAACATCCATTCCCCTCCATCTTTCTTTTTAACCTTCATCCACAAAGCTGTATGTTTTATTAAACCAATTATATTTATCTCACATCCCTTGGTAGGGACTGATTTAGGAACAGAATGGTGACTCAATTCAGACCCATGAATTTCGAAGGAAAGTCTCCTAAGAGATTTTTAGAAAATGTTTGCTTTTCAGCAGAAGAGCTGACATGGTGCTTCTTCCTCTGCATGTTGTTGTAACTGACTGGGATGCGTGGAACTGCTGTAGCTATCTTGCTAAGGGATAGATAAGGGAAAGTCAAGAGGATTAGAGAGAAGTAGAGCTGGAGCCCTGTGGTACTTACTAGGAACACACTGCTTTAACTTTCCTTGGTGTTTAAGCTAGCCACGTTGCATTTTCCTGATAAAACGTACATAACACCTTTAAACAACTTAATGCCTATTCCACAGTATAAAATACCCCTTTGGTGCTAGCCCACCTGAAGGATGCTGAGAAAATAACTGAAATATTTTTATTCTTTGGACTTTTTTAATAGTTGCTATGCACACCTCCTGCCCCAACTTTTTGTCACTGCATTTTTGTCTGGGTTCAAATCCCAGTTTCATCTCTTACATTACAGATGTTTCTAGTTTTAATAAAGTCAAGTTTATTAGTTTTTGCCTTTATGGTTTGTGATTTTGTCTTCTTTATAAAGTCTTTCCCTTCCTTAATCTGAACTTTAATGACCCACAACTTCAGGGCTGTCCAATCACATTGTGTTCTATGTGAATTGCGCCCCTTGGATAACAAAGTGGATGACATCACCTATAAGTAGTGCAAAGCAGTTCTTTTTGAAGTATTTAGGATAAATCTCTATTTGTTCTTCTGAAAGTTGTAAAGTTTTGCTATTTTTATTTAAATCTTTAAGAAATATATAATTTACATTTATTTCTTTTCTCTGAGACAAGATCTCATTCTTTTGCTTGGGCTACGGTGTAGTGGCCTCATAATAGTTCACTGTAACCTCCAACTCCTATGCTCAAGCAATCTTCCTGCCTCAGCCTCCTGAATAGCTGGGACTACAGGGATGTGGCCATCTTACTATTGCCCCGGCCACCGGCTGGTCTCAAACTCCTCGAACTCCTGGGCTCAAGCAGTCCTCCCACTTTGGCCTCCCAAAGTGCTGGGATTACAGGCTTGAGACACCACACTGGATTAATAATTCTAATCTGGTATGTGACTGGGATCTAATTTTATTTGGTCCCAGGGTCTTCCATTGATTAATCCATACTTTCTTCTACTGGTTAGTAATGTCACTTCTGTCACAGTGTCCATATATGTTTAGTCTGTTTTTTTTTTTTTTTTTTTTTTTTTGAGACAGAGTCTCACTTTGTTGCCCAGGCTAGAGTGAGTGCCGTGGCGTCAGCCTGGCTCACAGCAACCTCAATCTCCTGGGCTCAGCGATCCTACTGCCTCAGCCTCCCGTGTAGCTGGGACTACAGGCATGCACCACCATGCCCAGCTAATTTTTTTTGTATATATATTTTTAGTTGGTCAATTAATTTCTTTCTATTTTTGGTAGAGAGGGGGTCTCGCTCAGGCTGATTTCGAACTCCTGACCTTGAGCAATCCGCCCGCCTCAGCCTCCCAAAGTGCTAGGATTACAGGCGTGAGCCACCACGCCCGGCCTGTTTTTTGACTCTTTATTCTGTAGTCTGTCTACCACCCACCAATGCTACACAGTTTTAGTTACTTATCTTTATAATAATTCTTAATATCTGGTAGGGTAAGACTTTCACCTTATTCTTTTACTTCAAAAGAGTCTTCATTATTATTGATCCTTTACTCTTTTTTATTTTATTTTATTTTTTGAGACAGAGTCTTGCCTGTCACCTTGAGTTGAGAGTGCAGTGGCATCATCGTAGCTCACTGTAACCTCAAACTCTTGGGATCCTCCAGGGATCCCAAGCTCCAGGGATCCTCCTGCTTCCACCTCCTGAGTAAATGGACCTATAGGCACACAGCACGATGCCCAGCTAACTTTTCTATTTTTCGTAGAAACTAGGTCTTGCTCTTGCTGAGGCTGGTCTCAAACTCCTGAGCTCAAGCAATCCTCTTGCCTTGCCTCCCAGAGTGCTAGGATTACAGGCATCAGCCACCAAGCCCAGCCTGATCCTTTACTCTTGAATTTTAAAAATCACTTTATTAAAATACTTGAGAAACTGTGTGAGATTTTGATTGGAATTACGTTGAATTTATTGGTTAATATATAGAAAACTGGAGGCCGGGAGTGGTGGCTCACGCCTGTAATCCTAGCACTCTGGGAGGCAAAGGCGGGCAGATTGCTCAAGGTCAGGAGTTTGAAACCAACCTGAGCAAGAGTGAGACCCCGTCTCTACTAAAAAAATAGAAAGAAATTAATTGGCCAACTAAAAAAATATATAGAAAAAATTAGCCGGGCATGATGGTGCATGCCTGTAATCCCAGCTACTCGGGAGGCTGAGGCAGGAGGATCGCTTGAGCCTAGGAGTTTGAAGTTGTTTTGAGCTAGATTGACACCATGGCACTCTAGTCCAGGAAACAGAGTGAGACTCTGTCTCAAAAAAGAAAAAAGAAAAAGAAAACTGGAATCTTTATAATATTGAGTCTTTTCATACATGAACATAAATTTTTCTTTATAAAAAATAGAGACATTTATTGAAGATACATAAGAAACACTGTACATAGGACAATGATGCCTCAGTCCCCTATGAACATAAATTTGTTAATGCTTATAAAAAAATGTTGTCATTTTCTTCATAAGACTTTGTACATTTTTGTTAAATCTATGTTTAGGTAACTTACATTTTTAGTTGCTATTGTGAATGGGATATTTAAAAAATTACAGGTTCACTATTTGCTGCTTACATTTAAGAATACAGTTTTTAAATATATGTATTGGTCTTATATTCAGAAATATATTTGAACTCTTTTATTAATTTTGAAATTTGTTCTTGAAATTAGAAAACAAAATCTAGCAATGGAGAAACTTGATTAAAAAAATAAAAAACAAATTTGTTTATTGGTTATCTTAGATGTTCTTTCTTTTCTTTTTTTTTTTTAATTGAGCCAGGATATCACCCTGTCACCTGGGCCCCACCCGGGCTAGAATGCAGTGCCATCATCATAGCTCACTGCAACTTCCAACTCCCGGGCTCAAGTGATCCTCTGGCCCTCAGCCTCCTAAGTAGCTGGGATTATAGGCATGTGCCACCATGCCCTGGTAAATTTTTTATTTTTATAGAAATGGGATCTGGCTATGTTGTCCAGGCTGGTCTTGACCTCCTACCCTCAAGGGATCCTTAAGCCTGGGCCTCCCAAAGTGCTGGGATTATAGGCCTGAACCACCCTACCCAGCCCCTTGAGCTTCAAATTTGTGCCTATCAATTTCCTTTTATCCATTGGAGTCCACTTATTTCCTCCCTTTTCTACCCTGCTCTCTGCCCCAAGGATTCCTTCTAGGAACTACACCTATGGGCTGCTTTGCCCTCTGTCTTCCCACTGGGTTCTGCCTGTGGGAATTCCTGGCAGGAGATGGATCTGGTCTCCTCCCTGTGAGGTATTTATTTATTTATGAGGCAGAGTCTCACTCTTTTGCCCAGGTTAGAGTGCCGTGGCATCAGCCTAGCTCACAGCAACCTCAAACTGCTGGGCTCAAGTGATCCTTCTGTCTCTGCCTCCCGAGTAGCTGGGACTATAGGTGCACACCACCATGCTTGGCTAATTTTTCTTTGAGGTATTTTCATACTACTTTCCATAGAGGTTGTACTAGTTTGCAGTATCACCAACAGTATACAAGTGTTCCTAAAACCATTCTTCTAAGTGAAGTATCACAAGAATGGAAAAACAAACACCACACGTACTCACCATTAAATGGGAACAAATTGATAAACACTTAAGTGCACATATGGAAATAACACTGATTAGAAATCAAGCAGGTGGGGGGGAGGATGGTAAAGTCACACCTAACGTGTACAATAACTTTTTCTCAAACTGTACAAAAGCAATTTATATAACCAAAACATCTGTAGCCCCATAATATTCTGCAATAAAAATAATAATAAAAGATAAAAAACAAACTCAAAGTAGAGTCCCCTTTTACTATCGTCCCTATTGCTCTCCTCTCTAGAGGTAACCATTACCAGCATTTTGAGGACACATTTCTAGGGTTCTTTTTATACATTTCTTTCTCTAGTGAATATACATATACACATTTCCTTTTTACATAAATAGCACCTCCTCGTTTTATAGGTGAGGAAACTAAGTAAGACCCTGAAGGGAGACGTGTTGATAAATTTATTGAAGCAAAGCAGACTTAGCAATTGTTTATTAAACCCTAGTATGTGTCAGACCCTGTGCCCAGTGCTTTCTTGGCATGAAGGGCTGTGGTGTTTCAGTTGTGCTGGATGGGTCGCCGCGCTAGGTTAACTAAGCGATTGGGGTGGGAAGCAGGCGGAGGATTTGTGTTTTGATGGGAGCTGCAGGAAAGCCAGTAGAGTGCGGTTGAGCAGCAAAAAAAAAAAATACTGTCATCTGCACTGTGTCTGTCAGTCAATAAGCTTGTAAAGCTGAAATGCGAAGACCTGCCGAGACCGAAGCTTCCTTGGGAAACTAGGAATCGTCTCCGCATCTACAAGGATGGCCTTGGAGTACTGAGACGAAGGCACCAGTGGATACAAAAATGATATCCCGAGCAGACAGCAACCTAACAACCAACCCCTAGAGCGGAGAGCCGAGAGCCTAGAGCGCTTCTGACCGGTGGGGAAGTGCGCCTGCGCAGGCCGCTCGGGACGGGGGCGGAGCTTGGGGGCGGTCAATGAGCCTGCGCAAACCGCGCGGCAAGGTGGGGGAGGGCGGCCCGTGTGTGTCTGTGTTGTTGTTCCGCGGCAGCGGCGGCGGCGGTAAGATGGCTGCCCACGGGGGCTCCGCGGCGTCCTCGGCGTTGAAGGGGTTAATTCAGCAGTTCACCGCCATCACCGGTAAGAGACGCCGTTACCGGAAGGTGGAGAGTGGGGTCTGGAGCGGGCGGTGGGTCTGTCCCGGGCTTCCCCTTACCTGCATGCATTCCTCCCTAGGGCTTTACCCGCGGCTCCCGTCTTCCTCCTGAGGAAGAGGCGACAACGGCGTCGGGGTCTCTGGGTTCAGGCGGGAGACAGTCCCCCCGCTCTCCTCATACCCTCGTTCTTGGTCTCCTCGCAGTATGGAGGGAGACCCACCCCCCACCTCCTGCCAGTCCAGAACACGGAATGGGCCGAGCCCGTCCGCCTCCGCCGGCCCGGGGACCTGGGGGCGGAGGAGTGGGGGGCCGCACCCGGGCCACCGCCCTCCTCTCCTTCATCATCTTCATCTCTTCTCTGTGCAGCCCTGGGGTGTAGTGCATCTCCTCACGTCTTTTACTCTTTATTCCATGGCCAGGTCATTCTCTCCCCGTCCCTGGCCTGCCCTTCTCCTTTCTGGGCCCTTCAGAGCCATCGCTGTGGCCCTGGCGAGTTTGGGGCCTCCCGCCTTAACGGCGAGGCTAGTGGGTTCCGCGGCGCCTTTACGCATCCCGGGGGATAGGCCGCCAGAAGTGGGGGGTGCTGGGGAGTACCTTAGGGACTGAGGCTTTGAGAGAAGAATGAGGGGGAACCCCCACGCTTAATAGGGGAACCTGGAGGAATCTTGGGTGCCGTTTTCCACCTACCCATAATAAAATCATAAAGACTGAGGCGATGGCGCCAGAGCCTCCTGCTGATAAAATAGGGATGGCGGCACAAACTTCTTTGAGAGAAAATCTGTTTCTGGATGTCAGTGTCCCCCAAAACCTGGGCCTAGGTTTTTATTTCCCTTTGGACCCCTGCGAGGGGCACGCGCAGATCCTCTTCTCGCTTTGAGGAAAGGCCCTAAGACATTCTATGAATGCTATGTCTTGCTTCTCTCTGATGGTGCTGAACTTTTTTTGCATGAGTTATTAGAGGGCGGAGCAAATGATGTTCTCTGTGGAGTGATTTGAGAGAAGAGTACTCCATGTGCCTGAGCGTAATTTTGCCGTTCTAGTTTGTCATTTTGGAAAGAGGTCAGGATGTTAGTTCCCTCTTCTAACAAATCTGCGCTTTATCGAGAAATTTGTTAGATGCAGCTTCCACTGTTAATGTTCTTAGAGTTTGACATGCAAGATCTGGTTAAATAAAATTGTATATTGTTTTAACCACTACAGGTTGCATGCAAGTTACCTTTTCATAGTTAAAGCTAGTTTTATGTTTTGCTCTGTAATGATAACTAGATGTTTGAAGCATTGTTATTTAGCTTGTGGACATGAAACATCACGTCAATGTTGGTAAAGTAAAGTTTGTAATAATATTGGAGTGAGGAGTTGAATGATAACTTTTCATAATATTTGAAGTTATTGGATTATTATCTTAATGATGTAATAATGGATTTCCCAATGTTTAATTAAACCATTGTTATAGAGAAAATTAGAAAATTGTGTATATAAGTTTATATTGCTGCATTATGTTTATACAGAAAAATCTTTGAAGTAAAGAAGTGAAGTTTTGTTTTGTTTTTTTTTTTTTTTTGAGACAGTATCTTGGTCTCTTTTTTTTTTTGAGACAGTCTCACTCTGTTGCCAGCCATGGCGTCAGCCTAGCTCACTGCAACCTCAAACTCCTGCCTCAGCCTCCCGAGTAGCTGGTAGTACAGTCATTCGCCACCATGCCCGGCTGATTTTTTCTATATATTTTTAGTTGGCCAATTAATTTCTTTCTATTTTTATAGTAGAGTAGTAGAGATGGGTTCTCACTCTTGCTCAGGCTGGTTTTGAACTCCTGACCTTGAGGGATCCACCTGCCTCCGCTCTCAGAGTGCTAGGATTACAGGTGTGAGCCACCATGCTGGGCCAGTCTTACTTTCTTGTCCTTTTTGTGTGTGTTTGTTTTCTTGAGAGTCTGGCTCTGATTCCACCCCTCCCCCCACACCCAGAGTGCAGTGGCTTACTGCAACCTCAAACTCCTGGGCTAAAGCAATCCTTTGGCGCCTACCACAACAACAGGCTAATTTTTGTATTTTTAGTAGAGATGGGGTCTTGTTCTTCCTCAGGGTGGTCTCGAACTCCTGAGCTCAAGTGATCCTTCTGCCTCAGCCTCCTAGAGTGCTAGGATTACAAGCTTGGGTCCCCACACTGGGCATGTTGCCTGGTTATAGTGCACTATCATGGTTCACTGCAGCCTCAAACTCTTAGGTTCCAGTGATTGTCATGTTTCAGCTTCTTGAGTAGCTGGGACTACAGGCGTGTGCCACCAAGCTGGGCTAATGTCTTATTTTTTGTAGAGAAGGGGTCTCTCTACATTGCTCAGGCTGATCTCGAATTCCTGCCCTCAAGTGATCCTCCTGCCTTGGCCTCCCAAAGTGCTAGGATCACAGGCGTGAGCCACCATGCTCGACCCTAATGCAGCATTTTTATTAGGTATACACAAAAAACAAAGTGTAGTGAGATGAATTGACTTAGTTGCTTTGTGTTTCTGTTAATCTGTACAGCTTGTTTCCTCATTGCAGACCTCTGTATTGCTTAAGTTGGAATCCCTCAGTAGACAGTGGTATCTGGAAGTCTATAGAAGGGAAGATAATGTTAGTCTGTTCTTGATGTGTTGTGAATTTCTATTGGTAATTTTTGAGATTCTTTTTACAGGATAGTGATTAACCATTAGAAACACATTTATCCTTTTTCATATATATCTTAAAAAGACATTTTTTAGGTTCTCTCCATGTTTTAGGTTTTTTTTCTTTTCTGTTTTTTTTTTTCTTTTTGAGATGGGGTGTTGCTCTGTCACTCAGCCTGGAGTGCAGATGCATCATAGTTCAATACATCCTCTAACTCCTGAGCTCAAGCGATCCTCCTGCCTCACCATCCGTAGTAGCTGAGACTGCAGGTACATGCCACCATGCCTGGCTAATCTTTTTGTTTTATAGAGACAAGGTCTCACTATTGCCCAGCTGGTTTCAAACTCCTGGCCTCAAGTGATCATCCTATTTTGGCTTCCCAAAGTACTAGGATTACAGGCATGAGCCACCGTGCCTGGCCTGATTGCTTTTTAAAAATTAGTTTTAAATTGTTTTGTGGACAAATAACCATTTTCCATCTTTTTTATTTGTAAAAATCTATGGGGTACATGTGCTATTTTGTTACATGCATAGATTTTATAATGGTCAAGCCAGGGCTTTTAGTGTATCTGTTAACTAATTTCTCATCATCCCCCAACTCCCCCAACCCTCCAAGTCTCCATTATCTATTGTTCCACTCTCTATGATTATGTGAACACATTTTTTAGCACCCACTTACAGGTGAGAACATGCAAAAGATATTTTGTTTTTCTGTGCCTGGGTTGTTTCACTTAAGATAATGACCTTCAATTCCATCCATGTTGCTGCAGAAGAGATGGTTTCATTCATTTTTATGGCTGAGTAGTATTCCATTGTGTATATATGCCACATTTTCTTTTATTTATTTTTTTTTGAGACAAAGTCTCACTTTGTGGCCCAGGATAGAGTGAGTGTTGTGGCATCAGCCTAGCTCACAGCAACCTCAAACTCCCGGGCTCAAGGAATCCTTCTGCCTCAGCCTCCCGATTAGCTGGGACTACAGGCATGAGCCACCATGCCCGGCTAATTTTTTTATATATTTTTAGTTGGCCAATTAATTTCTATTTATAGTAGAGACAGGGTCTCGCTCTTGCTCATGCTGGGACTGGTCTTGAACTCCTGAGCTTAAATGATCTGCCTGCCTTGGCCTCCCAGAGTTTTAGGATTATAGTCGTGAGCCACCATGCCCGGCCTGCCCTTTCCCACTTTTTTTTTTTTTTTTTTGTCTCCTCAGTGCTGCGTGTTTCGGAACTCCTGACGTTCGAGCGATCCTCCCACCTTGGCCTCCAAAATGCTAGGATTACAGGTGTGAGTCACCGCACCAGCCTCAGGAGTCCATAGATGTCAACAGATGTCTTCTGTGTGACATCCAAAACACACTTGTAATCAAAATAATTCATGGGATGAAAAAGAGGGATCACTAAACAGTATAGAACTGCTAAAATAAACTGGGAACAGAAGGTAAGGACAAATGTGAGGGAATAGAAAGGAAGCTGAGAAGAGAATAAAGAGTTACCAGTGTAGAATTTCATAGAGCATTTGTGCATAGTAGATATTCACATACTTCATGAAATTCAAGAACCTCAGTTGTGGAAGAGACCTAAGTTTAATTTTTCTCTAAAATTGTTGGATGAATGCATATTTATTATAACAATTAGGAACTATGGTGTGTAGTATTGTTGCTTTGTAGCTAATTTCTCTATTCATACTCTTGGGTTTTTTTTTTGAGAACAGGGACTCAGTCTGTTGCCTGGGATAAAGTGCAGTGGCATCATCAAAGCTCACTGCAGCCTCAAACTCCTGGGCTCAGTGATCCTCCTGCCTTAACCTCCTGAGTAGCTGGACTATAGGCACCAGCCACCATGCCCGGCTAATTTTTCTATTTTTTGTAGAGGTGGGTCTCGCTATGTTGCTCAGGATTGTCACAAACTCCTGGCCTCAAGCGATCTTCCCGCTTGGACTCACAAAGGTTTGGATTATAGGTGCAACCACCATGCCCTCCCTGTATGTATTGTTTATACAATACATTTGTTTGGGGTTAATATTAAAATATGTTCAGTCTCTGTGGCTGGAGAAGGTGGTTGCAAGTGTTCCAGATATTAACCCTTGCACGGGATGTCGAGTGTGACTTGACACGGTTAGCAAAAATTATAGAGATTAAAATTACTCTTTGAATGTATCACTAGTTTGAAATATAAAAAAAATCCAAATAAATTTGCTGATGAAAAGAACTCTAGTTTTTTTATTACTCTCGAGCTTTGTAAAATCTGGGTACTTAAAAATTAAATCCCAGGCCGGGCGTGGTGGTCACGCCTGTAATCCTAGCTCTCTGGGGGGCCCGAGGCAGAGGATGCTCGAGGTC